CCTGACGGGCTTTATGAATTTAAAGTCTTGCCATTCGGATTGTGCTCAGCCCCCGCAACATTTCAGAGACTGATGGATACCGTTCTGTCAGGCCTGAAGTGGCCGACATGTCTGGTCTATCTGGACGTCATTGTTTATTCAAAAACATTTGAGGAACACCTGAGCAGGCTGCTATCGGTATTCAGGGCAATAAGGTCTGCTGGTCTGACACTAAAACCGGAGAAGTGTCATTTCGGTTTCAAGGAGCTCCAACGTTTAGACCATGTGGTGAGCCATGAAGGTGTTCGACCTGATCCGATAGATTCCGGCGCCTAGAAATTCCGGTGCCAAAAGACCAGAAAGCAGTCAGGGTTTCTTGGTCTATTCGGATACTACCGAAGGTTTATTGCCAATATTTCTCCCACATAGCCTTGCCGTTAACACGACTCATAGAGAAGACGTTTCGTTCTCATGGGGCGACGATCAACAGGTGGCATTGACGATCTCCGACAACGCCGCAGACTCCGCCTGTGCTTGCTCACTTTGATGAGGATGCTCCTACCATGGGCCACACAGATGCCAGCAACGTGGGTTTAGGCGCTGTGCTCGTCCGTGGCAAGACTTAGCCGAGCGTGTCGATCGCATATGCTAGTAGATGCTTTCCCGCGCCGAGGTCCAACTACTCCACAACGGAAAAAGAGTGTCTTGCTGTTCGTATTGGCGGTATGAAGTTTCGTCCGTACCTCTATGGTCGTTCATTCCACGTAGTAAGTGACCATCATTCCTCTCTGCTGGCTGACCACTTGAAAAACCCGTCTGGTCGGCTCGCACGGTGGAGCTTACGCCTTCAAGAGTTGGATATGACGGTCGTGTATAAGTCCGACGGCAGCCGCCGACGCGATCGCTTATCAAGGTCACCGATAAAGCGCGACGATGACACAGAAGATGACAGCATGGCGTTTGTAGGAGTCGTTGACACACTACGATTTGTACAAGCAAGAAAGAAGACAGTGAGTTGCTTCCTCTTATTGAATTTTGAATGGCCGGACAACAACCGTCCCTAGAAGATTCGCAAGGAGCCTGCCGTCATTATGCTTAGTAGTAGTGTTCTCTATAAGAAGAACTTTTCCCCCAGAGGAAGCCCCAACCTACATTGTCCCGTTCCAACGTCACTACCGCTGAGGAGATCCTCTGTGCTTGCCACGATGAGCCACCGGTCTGGAGTCATCTCGGATACCACAGCAACAGTTGAGGCCGAATCCACAGAGATACTACTGGCCAAGCACTTTCCTCAGCTATTGTGGAAGCATTACGTGCGCACGTGGCCTAGATCGCCAACGACAGGCACATTGCACACCCGTTAAAACCCAGCTGGACTATTACAACCAATTCAAGTGTGCCCACGGTACCTTTTGTGTCCTGAACTAGGAATGGATCTCCTGAACCATATCCGGACTCCCCATGCTGGCAACAAGTGAAGTAATAGTCCGCCACTGATGAGCTTACGCGCTACGCGGAAACAAAGGCCTGTCAAGTTGCCACCGCTCCTTGAAACCGCACGATTCTTCGTAGAAAATATCGTCCTGAGGCATGGTGCTACTACACTATAATAACGGATCGAGGTGCCGCTTTCACGGCCGCGCTCATTAAGGCAGTGCTTGAAGCTCAGTGGAACAGCCCATCGGAAAACAACTTCCTATCATCCACAAACCAACGGCTTAACAGAATGCCTCAACAAGACTATTGCCGACATGTTGAGTATGTACGTTGACGTGGATCACAAGAACTGGGACGACATTCTACCGTACATCACGTTCGCCTATGATACAGCGCAGCAAGAAACTACATTAACAACGCCGTTCAGTCTCCTTCATGGCCGTGAATTGACGACGATGCTTGACACCATGTTACTGCATGACTGCAATGACATCAACTTGGACGCTGCATCTTTTACTCAACGAGCAGAAGAAGTGAGGCAGCTTGAACGCGTCCGAATCACCCAGCAGCAACATTATGACGCCTAACGTTATAATCTGCGACACCGACATGTCGTCTATCGGCCCGGCGACAAAGTCTGGGTATGGAGTCCTATCCGCCGCCGGGGACTGTCTGAAAAATTGCTAAAGAAGTATTTTTGGCCCCTACACAGTTTTTACAACGCCTGAGCGACGTTAATTACAGTGTCGTTCCTGTACAGGCCCCGCGAGAACTCTCGCAGCAAAAACAGAAATCGTGCCGTTGTGCGAATGCAGCCCTATTTTTCGGACTGATTTACATTCATACATCTACTACAACCGACCCTTTGTAGAAGAACATCGGGACGCTGCTTTCTGGAGGGGGGCGACAATCCGCAGTGAATATGCAGCCACAAGGAAAACAACGAAGTACACGCGCAGCGGGACGAAAGAAGAAGAAGAGGTTCTCTCCGACAGTTTTGCCAGTGTTCTAGTACCAAATAACGTGAGTTTCCCTGTATTTAACTGCTGCTTGTGTCTGCATTGTGGACAAATATTAGTCGACCATTAACCGTATGAGGTTGGTGTTTAGGTCTCTTGGCCTGACGCCAGCAGATCACGTGGTGGTTATACGAGCCGTCATTGCTTTCTTAGTAGCCACTGGACTGGATTCATATCTGTAGAGTTACCAAGCCTAATAAGAACATATCATCTCTCTATCTTACCATCGTAATTCATCACTCTTTCACTTCCTGTCACCCTTCCCAGTGTAGAGTAGCTGGTCAGAGCAAACTATAGCTCAGGCCGACCTCTCTATTTTTCTGTAAATAAATTCTCTCTCTCTCTCCTTATAGATTGTTTCTTGGCGAGTCTACCAGAATGGGTGTGCGCGACACACTTCTACGCCACCGACATCATCATCGTCGTCGTCGCCTAATCACCGTCGGTGTCACGATTCCCATGCTCCACCACAACGAACTCGAATCAACCTGTTTCCATATGCCAGGCTTTGTGTAACCTAGTGCACACTTCCAGTATTTCTTAACTACTCGCCATTGTTACACTAGCCACAGAAAAAATAATTCAGATATTTCACTCACGACTAGCAAATTACTTATAATACGGACAACATTCTATCCTTCGGGGCGTTCTCCGAGCGACGGCCGTAGGAAAGCGTGCTGCGACATACGAATTTCTTTCTGAAAGTGACTCGCTCGAAATTTCGCAATTATTTCCACTAGTTTATCGCTCTTGATATTATAGCACTGTACTCTTACCTTTAGTGCTGTATAAATTTGGCACGCCCCGAGTTCATTGCAACGTAATAAAATGATGGTGGTTATCACAGTATACGAACACACACTAATACATGCGATTTCAGTCTACAATCCTTTCCACACGGCTCTTGACAGAAAGTTAAATAACGGGAAATACCGCCACAAAGCTCGTCGTCATATCAGCGTTAAGTTCAACCAGGCTTCAACAGGACAACATCAGAAAGTTTACCTGCAGGTCAGCAGCAAGTGGAAGTAGGTGTTTCATTCGAGATTAAAACAAAATTGCTAAGTATACCTCAAAACTTTTCTCGTTTCATTCATTTTTCATCACACACAGTGGGATTTTTGATAAAGCCGCCAATAGGTTCGCGATGATTTCTATTATTGTCTGAGTGATGTCTATATTCAATCATGCAGTAACATTTACCCTTTTTGCAGTTGCGATCGAGGCATTCTTTCGAAATATTGCAGTTTTTTTCTTTAAACCAACACACAATATCAGATTCATGGCGGCAACTTCCCGAGAGATCTAAATATACCTATTTTAAAAGAATCTGCGTTAGTCCTCTCTTTTGTAGAGGTAGCTCACCGGATGTCCTATTCGTTAATGCCCCTGCATTATCGTTTCTTTCACACACAGACTAGCGTGAAATGTTTCTCGGATGATCACGATTCACAGCATACATCCACTTAGGGAAATCAGTGAAGAATCGGTCGCACATGCAGGCGGTGTTTATCCTCAATAGCTTTTTGAAGCTTTGATTCATCTTGACTCAAACTCTATGAAAGGAGTGCCTGGAAACACCAAAGTGCAAACCCACCACTAGGATTATTTACACGGCAGTTTCCGAGTACAGCACTCAGCTCATTACTATTCCTGCACTTTCTTTCATATCTCTATACCCCTTTGAGCTACATATAGCGTTTGGCTGCAGGTCAGCTATGTAACTGGTCGTCTGGACATGTGGTTGGACAACTGTGGGTTATGCGACTTAAACACGTATTTGCGAGAAAACGTAAGGGTTGATATCGTTGCATGCATGTCGGTTGACTTAATTTCGCACTATTCATAATTGCCAATTATACAGCATATTATCATATCTTGCTCTTGCATTAGTGTAATGCACTAAACTAACAGTTCCTCTATCTTTGCAGTCGTGTGGCCTGGAGACATCTCCAAGACTGAATCTGAGCCAGCAGGTTCTTGGCCGGGTCTTTGAAGGCAAAGCAATACGATCGATTCCTTAATTGTGCATGGCTGTCAACTAGCACAACAGCGTTAACGTGTTCGTCAGTTCTTAAATCTAGTCCTTAAACACGTGGTCTGTCAGCCTATCGACTGCGACTGAGGATGCGCGACGACGAACACAACTCGCGTAAAAGTCCATTGTCTCAAAACCACCCTAATCTACAATTAACTTAATCGAGTAGTTCGCGTACAGCGAGACACTTGCTTCTCTTCCACGTCCTGCAGTTGGCGTTAAGGAATTCGCAAACTAAAAGAATGTCACTCGCGATACCATCAAACTTGCGAGTATCTTGCAGCTGTAAATTTAAATCAAGGTGGCCTATAGAGTTTAACGAAAGCACAATGCAGATGCTATAGCGTGTTGTCAAAGTTAGTAAGTAATGTCTGAAGGCTGTTAGTTTAACTGAAGGCAGCGTATACAGTTCAGCAAACACAAATCATAGTATCGGGGCCCTGTAGCATGGGATATAAAACTAGCTGGCTTATTGCAGTTGCCTCAAGGAGGAACCACGCCCCTGTTTCTTTACGCCATCCACATACGTCGTTCTAGGACGCCGACGCTTGCCGCCGCCTCGGGCCACTCGCAGCGGAGAGCCGAGCAGCCATTTCTCCTCCATGGCCAGCATGCCCTGCATTGTGTTGGAAGGTGGCAGCTGCCTCGTGTCCGGCAGCGCGAACGCCATCGCGCTCAGCACCAGAAACATGGCGGCCGAGACGGCGTACGCAGCGCTCCTTAGCGGCGGAGACGGGATCAAGTTGACGAACGGCGCCACGAAGGCGCCTAGCCGGCCGCTCATGTAGCAGCAACCCAACGCAGTGCCGCGCAGCACGGTCGGATACAGCTCGGCGGAGTAGGCGAACAGCGTGACGGCGGACAAGTCGAAGGCGAGAAGCCCCGAGATGACGAGAGCGGTGGAGAGCTTCGCCGAGGCGCCGAACAGCTCCACCACTGACAAGGCGGTGGCCACGACGGAGAGTGCCAGCATGCTAAAGCCGAGGGACAGGCGTCTACCGGCGCGCGTGATGGCGTAATCGTCCGCCACGACGCAAGGCAGTCGAAGCAAGACGAGGGTGATGCGGGCCCGGTCGCTGTTGCGCAACACGTTGGTCGTGGTCAAGTGCGCGAACGCGCCAAACACCAGGAACCAGCAGCCGAATATGACGGCAGACCGGTGACGCAGGATGCTGTTTGGACAGCAAGTCGCAGACGCGGACCTCTGCAAGTATTCATTAGACTGTTAATTACATACACGACATAATGTGCACTAAGGATGGTTTAAAGGGACGACAGTCACCCCATCGTAGCTGCAAACACTTCACAGAAAGATCAACCAATCATCAGTGGCAAGACTTAGCCGAGCGTGTGATCGCATATGCTAGTAGCACGCCTTCACGCGCCGAGTCCAACTACTACACAACGGAAAAAGAGTGTCTTGCTGTTCGTATTGGCGGTTATGAAGTTTCGTCCGTATCTCTATGGTCGTTCCTTCTACGTAGTAAGTGACCATCATTCCCTCTGCTGGCTGACCAACTTGAAAAACCCGTCTGGTTGGCTCGCACGGTGGAGCTTACGCCTTCAAGAGTTTGATATGACGGTCGTGTATAAGTCCGGACGGCAGCACACCGACGCCGATTGCTTATCAATTGTTCTTACTTTTTTTTCGAATATAGCAACACAATTGAAACTCAATCTGATCACCGATTTTTCAAATTTCGCAAGATAACGAAGAGCTAGCCATTCTCTGTCAATTATCGATATAGTTCCTTGTTGCCATCAGCTCGAATTAACGAAGCTTTCATGGCACTGAACACGACTTAACGAAGTTTCTTTGAAAATAAATGAGCAAAAATACTATGATATCTTTCCACTTTTCTCTCAGAAACAGATGGATAGATGGATGTGAAACTGTTGTATCCATTCATCCATCTTCTGAGGGGCGTGCGCTGTAATGCAATCCCGTTAATATATATAGTGTCGCTAGTTACGGCCCTATTGTTATTGTGGTTAGTTTCTAGCCACTATACTATTGTTTTATTTTGACCAGGTTCTATGCGACAGCCGGAAGCACTTTTACGTGTCAAATGGAGCTGAGGCCAGTCAGTGGTGGTGTGTTGTCGCCTATATCACTCCCACAAAAATATGGTGGCTGCTTTCGTTATTGGATTGTTTATGCGACAGACGACAGTGATCGTCTCCTTGAAACTTTGTTGCTCTGCTTGATCACATAAGAACTTCAGTCATTGTCACTGTCCTAAAAAATCGGCAACATAGTTTCACGTGACCATCCAACGTGCCTGTATCGCCCACCCATGGAAAGAGTTTCTGTTCGGGCTGCCCTCGCTTACTTTACACACGTTCAGGTGTGTATTAATGGGAAATAAAATGTCGTGATGTATCTTTCGGCTGAGGCTACTGTGGTATACTGGGTTCCTCTTGTCTTCGGGGGGCGTACTTCCATTGAATATCTGCACTGTAATAAAGAGTTCCGTGAGTTTCCGCCTGGGCTGCGGCTCGTTTTTTTTTTTCGTCGGGACCTTTGTCTCTCTTGCGTCGAGTCTGACGTGCGATAGAACAGCTGCATTAAAATTATAGATTTCGAGGGACAAGATTACCTTCTTGTACGCCACCAACTTCACGATTTAGCGAAATAATTTGAACGCCCTATTCAGCCTCAACTTTATATCATTCATAATGCCATGATGCGGCTTTCAGCACGTGACCAAGGCGTACTTTCCGGAAAACCAACAGTATTCCTCCCCTTGTATTGGGTATGCGCAATCAATGACCAGTGCAGGATTGAGCCAACGCGTTCGCACCGTGCTCCGAGACGATGGCGCCTTCCGGTTCTTGCTGCATGGCCAGCTGTTCGTTCTGCTGGTTCAGCTCGATCCTGAGGCGAGAGAGGCGGCGTCTGAACATGCTCGGCTCAATGTTGTTGACGCCGGCCGCCCACGCGAGAACGCTCTCGGCGTAGCGCATCTCGGAGACGGCCACGAGCCAGCAGGGAGACTCCTCCATAAGGTACACCGCGACGATCATGCAGCACGAGGGAATCATGAAGGCAACCTGCGACACATGCGAGCTGCTTCAGGCCTCCATAACAGTGTTGAAATGAAGACAAATCAAGACTCAGACCACGATAAAAGCAAATAAAAGCAAGATGTTTCGGTCAGAGTACGAGAGCCGGGTTCACAAGTGGATATCATTGCGTGAGCAGTCCGGTTATGCATGTCATGAAATATGACGTAAGCAGCGCGTGCGGACGTGTGGAAGGTTTCCGTAATTTCGATTGGGTGTGTGCGCCGTTGTCTGGTTTGTGATAGATTCGATAGGAACATACGTATTCCGAAGAAACGTGACATAAATGTCGTCATGTCTGTTCCTAACCAGATGGGTCCAATAGCAGCTATCGATTTACAACAGTGTTGACTTGTTGGTATCGCAACGGTACTCTGCAAAAACTAATCTACCGATACTTCTTCTGAAATCAGTTATCCAATGAGTTACCGAATCATTCGCATTCATCAACAAGGAATTGGCGATAGATTAGTCAAATATAAGTCAAGTTCAAACGATATCAAGCAAAAAGAGTGGGCGTGCAGTGTGTCGGCGAGATAACCGCTGGTTATTGAGGGTTATTAGTCGAGCGGCGGGTGGGGGTGGAGTGCACTTTCCCAGAAACCCAGCGAAATCAATTTTTCTCTTTATTTTTGGTACCTTCCAGACAGTCTCCGATTCCTTATTGTTGCCGCCCCTTGAAGTATAGAGTACCTGAGCTACCTACGTTCTGTTCGTTACACTTCCTCTTGCTACATAATGTACTCGTAAAAGCTGTCGTACTTCACAGTGAGTTGAGCTAAAGTGGCTAAAGCCCTTCGCAACCACCTTAACATTGCTCCGTGCAAATGATATGTGCAAACTTTGCTTTCGTTTGCGTAACGTACGTTGTTTAGCGCGCGTATTAGATCACAAAATTTTTATAACTGGATGATGTGAAACACATCCAGGGCATATTGGTATCCTGACAGGGATGCTATGGGTCTCGTGACGTTCTGTGAAAAGAAGGCACAGTCCCGCGAAACTCGGGACGGTTGGTAACCATAGTTTACGGGTATAACGTGGCAGCTCCGAGAACTGGAACGGGGCTCACGAGAGGCCCATGTACCACCTTGCAGTGGGCGGCTCGTCAGGTTAAGATGATTAGTTAATTCAATCAAGCTACACTGTTATAAAAAACAGTAATTGGTCTGTTTATGTGAGCCCGGCCTAGCCACGTATGAGACGCTCTTTTAAAGAGACGCGCTAAATCACACTGGGCTCTCCTATGAGAAAAGTATTCTCTCGTCGGAGAGTCGTGGATCGTGATAGAGAGGTAAACGTACCACTTTAAAGAAACACAATATTAATGAGAAGTAACAGAAGATGATGTCCATGAAAGTATAGGGGATGTTATTATCAAAAAATGTAATCTAAATGTGAATAAGAAAGACAAATGTAACTTGCCACAAGCAGAATCTGAAGCTGTGACCTTCGAATAACGCGCCCGACGCACCACTGCGCCATGGTGCCACCCCCCTCCCCCACTTACATTATAAGGTACAGACGCAGCAGCGTCAGCCAGTGTCGCCTGCTGCCGTTAGTCGTCTCCTACCTATATGTCAGGATTGAGCGAGAAGAGTGGGAAGCAACTTTGTTTAAGTGAAATATTTCACAGAGGAATGGTATTCAACCCGTGCCTTGCCACCACCTCCTCATCGCGGTATGGCGCGGAGCTGCTTTTGCAGGTTCGTATCGTGGAGTACACTTTCTCGCTCCTCGAATGAGGGAGTGGTCAGGAGATCATTCTTGCTGCAGTCCCATAGTATATGAAAGAGGGAGGCCAAGGATGCCACACTGTGAGCAATGCGGACTGAACAAATCGGGGTGAATGTGGGTGTACCTCCGCGAGCACGCGGGAAGGAGTGTGAGTATCCAATTCATTTTGAGAGAGCGCGATTCAGCCATGTGAGAGGTAGTGAGCCGAGCTATACCTGTGCCAGGTGCCAGTTTGGGATGCAAACGTAGATGAGCTCACTGTAGACGTCTGCAGCCAAAATGCCACTGGCGATGGCGACGGCGCAATAAGAGGCGCGATAGCGCGCGCCAGTCACCTCGAACAGAAGCACGTGCGACGCCACGACCACACCGGCGGCACCGGCCGAAAGTAGGAACCGGAGCGCGGCGAACACGGGCACGGTGAGGGCGAACACGAGCGTGGTGCCAGCGAAGAAGAGCAGCACGAGCCAGAAGCACAGCACGGGCCGTCGACCGATGCGGTCTGCCGCGACGCCGGCCACCTGGGCGAGTTGGTATGGAAGCATTACGAGAAAAGTAAAACGACGGCAATGCAAGACGTAAGGGGTGTCTGCAACACTTTTTCAGCATGGTCAGACAACACGGCCTATCAGTGGTCGAGACTCCTGAAAGCACGCAGCCAGGAAATTACCATTCATTCTAAGGTCAGCTAGAAACCACTTTTCATTAACACCAAGGTGCTTTATGAAACACCACCTAGACTATTCACAAGGCCCGTTCATACCCCTCTCTCCAGACGGCATACGTCACGCTAGTTGTCCGATGTTATGACCGGCACAGCAAGGAGGTGGCTTGCAAGGGACGCTCGTCGGCGTAACGGTCAAACGCTGTCCGCGTCCTGCAGGAACGCGGGAGGCGTCTGTGTGTGCCGCAGGAAATGCACGTCAGCGGCACTGGGACACACAGTCGGCGTCTAGCGCGTGCACGGACGGCTATAAAAGGAGCGTGTCGGGAGTGCGCTGTGCTCTCTCTCTGGACTTCGCTGGCACGCTCGTCTCGAGTGCGCTCTGGGCCCTTGTGATGGAAAGGCGCGTCTGTACGCTCTCGTTTCAATGTACTTCTCTTGCAAATATGTAAATTAAACGCATCTTCTACTTGTTCGTGAGACGCGTCGCAAGAGTCGTCCTTCACCGGATTCTGGGTGGCAGCCTCAACCCCTCCCCGGGCATATCACCGACTGTCCAGTGGCCGAGGGCGCGTCGCTCAGGTGGTTGTGTTGGTCACCCCGCGCACTTTTTTACCCCGAACGGCGGACATGCCACGACAGATTTGCCTTTCATCGCTACCTGCTTCGCTAGTTAGACTGCGTTAGGCTTGGTGCTGCTTCGCACTGCTCTGAGTCTTCGTCCGTTCCCACGTGTCCTATTTTATTGGTGTTGTATTTGTGAGTATGTGATTACACATCGATCAGTGTGACATGGGACGTTGTTGTGTTCCCGAGGTGCCTGCGGCAATTATGACAGTGGTCCCAAAGTGCGTGTTTTCGCATTCCCCAAGGATGAAGCTCGGAAGAAGTCTAGGATAAAAGCCATTCCGCGAAAGGATTTCCCACCAAGCATACACTCCAAGGTGAGAAACTGCTGAAGATTGTTGTCTTACCGGCTCTATCGCATTACTGGCGTTCTGGCTCTGTTGAACGGAGCGAGTATCGTGAGTGGTGATGGTAGTTTTGTCGTGCTTCAGGTAGGGCAGTGCGGTAAAATAGAACAGAAATACTCAGGCTCGTGTCAATGTTCCCATTAGCCCGCTTCGTATGAAAGTAATGAAGTCACTGTTACGCTTGGCGCAGGTCTGTGAACTCCACTTCCTCGAGGCTGACTTCATCACAAAGCTGTCACATTTCGACGCAGCGTCGGGACGGACATTGACAGTCGACAGCGAGAGGGTGCGCCTAGTGTCAGATGCTATACCATCAGTGTTTTCGAACTGTCCGTCCTACCCGAGCATGAATCGCACTCGTTGAGAATCTCCTGTCTCGAAACGAGCTCGAATGGAAGACGAGGTCTTGAGCAAAGCGAATAAGGACTCTATATGCGCAAAAAAAAGCGAAGAGGAGAGAAATGCTGTGTCCTCTTTTGAACACTTAAGAGGCAAGCTTTCTGCTGTATGCAGTAATGATTTCTGGACCATCAAGGCCAACGATCGTTGTGTGATGTTTCTCCGCATCGAAGATAATCCTTCACCACACGTGAGGTTTTCCGTCACTGTGCTTGCTGATCTCTCACTTGCAGTCTCAGCAAGTATGATCAAGCTGGTTTCATTACCTTGCGGAGGCGCAGTTCCAGACGCAGTGCGTGACATCCGGACGTTGTCCTGACTGCTCCAGCAGCTGGAAAACCACATGACTGAGACGTCTGAAGTTGCAAGTCCGTCGAAAACAGCGTCAGTGTTGCAGCATATCGGCTCCTTATTGAATGAACTGTCCCAAGACAGTGACACGACCGAAGAACACAGTGCTTTGTTTCGTTTGCTAAATGAGCAAATAGCTCTCGCACTCGCTGCCCCCATTCGTCGTTACAGTGCTGAAACATTAGTGTTTTCTAGCATCCTGCACTCCATATCTCCGCCCGCCTATAACTTTGCCAGATCAGCGTCGACGTTGACTTTACGCCATCCTTCAACCATGTGCCGCGTTTGTTCCAAGTATGGAGGCGATCCACTGAAGGAGCAAAACGAAGCGAACTTCCTCTCCTACATTTGAGAAAGAGTGAAGTGCATGCAGCCGCACGAAAAGACAGTGACGCTAATGGTTGATGAAATTCATACCAAGCCATACTTCGATTATAAAGGGGGCAGCATAGTTGGATCTGCAGCCAATTCTCAAGAGGCAGCCACAACCGCTCATGTTTTCATGACTCAGTCGCTCTTGTCATCTAACAAAGATGTGCTTCACATTCTTCCTGTTGCAAAAATGACCGCCGAAAATCTACATGAGTTCTGCAAGAAAGTAATTTTAGAAGTGGAATCTATGGGCCTAAGGGTCATTGCTGTAATTACCGACAACAATTCCCTCAACCGGAAAATGATGTCGTTTTTCTCAGAGAAACAGGAAGTAAACATTGTATATCTTCATCTAGCCAACAACAATCGGCCTCTGTTTTATGTCGTAGACCCTGTGCACATACTGAAATGCATCAGGAACAACTGGATGAATAAAAAAAAACGAAGGAATATGCTTTTACTTTCTGAAGTGAGCCTGTCAGGAATATTGCCAAACGGGCCACCCAGAATGATGGCAGCATCATTTGAAGCCGTATGGCAGCTGTATGCACTGGAGCAGACATCGCTTCTCAAGCTTGGCTACAAGCTAAATTCCAAGGCAATCAATCCAACACCTATGGAGAGACAAAATGTAAAGTTGGTGTTAAATGTCATTAATTCGTTTGTATCAAACGCACTTGAGACGCGTGGCGATGCCCTTGAAACCACATGTGCCAGTTCAACAGCTCTCTTCATAAACATCATATCGACGTGGTGGAAAATTGTCAACGTGAAGACCCCTTTGAAAGGTCGCCGACTGAACGACACCCTTAAAAATTCAGTGAGTGGTATGGTAGACTCGCTGGATGCTTGGAGCAGCGTCGACATGAGCCGTGGCTGCTTGACAAGGGAAACATATTCTGCGTTGAGACTCACTTGCTACTCCCTTGTTGAGCTGTCGCGGTACTGTTTAGAAGAACTGAAGTTCAAGTATGTCTTGCTGGGAAAATTTCAAACTGAAACTCTTGAAGATCGCTTCGGTCGCTACCGTCATCTTGATGGTGCACAATATCATGTTTCCGTGAGGCAGCTTCTGGAGTCCGAAAAGAAAATTCGTCTGCAAAAGCTGCTGATGCTTCCGCAGCCAGACATCAGCAGCGAAAGTGACACAGAAGTATCGCAACATACCCAAAGCACGACATGGAGGTCGTTGCTTATATCGCGGGATATTGTGCTCATTCAGCTCTGAAGAAGCTGTCATGCGCATTTTGCATCAGCGTGCTCGTCCTGGAGAGCAGGAACATAGATGTGGAAGGTAACACAATGATTGACAACTTGTTAAGAGGAAGCTTAAAGTTTCCGCAGCCATGTACTGTGCACATGGTGCTGGTGACAACGCTTGTTGTCGAAAAGCTCACCAAGGGAGAAAATGCAAAGGCGTTCCTCGCGTCGAACAACCAACGTGGCATTGTAAGCTCCATTATCACACCCCTGCTAGGAGATGTTGAGCTAGAGACTTGTGAGAATGGCCATACATCTGAGACTATCGTGCGGCATGTAGTGCGTGTTGCAACAAATGTCGCTCTGAAACACTTTTGTAGACTTCGAAATGACACCATCCAAAGCACCGCACAAAAAAGGCAGCTGACAGAAAAATCAAAACCTTGAACAAGAAATGAGGTAGGATGGTTTTAGCCTTTCGTCCTAATAAAACCACTTCTACAAATGCATTTCTGACTATTACAGTTTGATCACTAAAGTGTAAAGGCAGGCGTAAACAAATGCATAACGCGCAGGAACAAAAAAGAACGAAAAAAAAGGAACACCAGCTTTCAATGAGTGCCCACAGCAGATATAACGAGAACGAGTGGCGACGACGGCTGGTGTGCAGGTGGGCAACTAGCGTGACGTCACGCTCTCCCTGGAGGGCCCTTGTGAATAGTCTAGGTGGTGTTGCTTTATGCCGGTGTCCACCACGCCTCCGCTGACGTACTTCCGTCACGGAAGTGACGTTGAAGAATATATACTAGCAGATCGGAAAGAAGAAACCTAGGAGCCAGCATTCGTCGCGCGTAATCGATTCAGCAACCTATCGATTTCAGCACCCGGTGCTAACCACTACGGCACAAAGTGTACCTTGGCTGGAGTGCTAATGGCAAGTCATTTATGAACACCATACACCATTTGGCAGTCCTCAAAGCTTCGAAACATTAGTGCGTTTTCGTTATCAGTGACGAGATGGCGGGACGGGCTCGCGTTGGGCGCACTTTAAAATCTGTCGCTTCCACGGAGCGGAGTCTCTCCAGCACGCGCGCTTATGGGACACTTCATTCGGGAGGTGACGAAGGCCACTTCACACGCTGCCGCGGCTGCGTGTATGAAAGGAGCACGCTGCTGACACACGACGCAGGAAGAATTGTGGCAGTTGTTCGTGCTTGTCCTGCGTATACTTGTGCGCACGTTTCCCGCCTCTTTCTGTTGAACAGAGCGCTTTGCAATTGTCAAGCTGTGACAATTGTTAGTCCACGCTCGTTCTATGTATGCTAATGTGGTGCGTGTATTTTGCGTGAGCTGTCTGCTGCACGTTTAGAGCTGCCCGCCGTTTTCAACGTGACTGAAATTTGTTGCGTTTTCTGAAACAATGCACAGTAAACGCTCAACTACCTTGGTAAAAACACGTTTCACTTTCGTGTGATACCGATTCCCATTTAGGGGGATCCATCACTTTTTTTGTACGAATGATGTCATACAGCCAAAAGTCCAAACCCTTTTGAAATCCAGGGCCGTTTTGAAGTCCGGGAAAAGAAAGGTGAAGCTGACTACATCGTAGACACGGCTGGCGGCAGAAAAATCTTCCACGCCAACTTACTGAAAAGATACGAGGAGAGGGACAGCAGCCCACGAGGAGGCTTTTCGAAGTCTCAAACAACATGTCTCTACGGAGCCGATACTACGGCTACCAAATTTGCACCAACCATTCGTACTTCGAACGGACGCATCGGACACAAGTCTCGGAGCCGTGCTCAAGCAGGCCCACGAAGGCAAGCTCCACCCCACTGCTTATGCCAGCCGAAAGCTGCTTCCACTGAAGGCTTCCTATAGTACCATCGAACGCGAATGTCTCGCGTTGGTATGGGGAATTCAGAAATTCTTCATGTACCTATATGGAGTACATTTTTGTGTCCAGACAGACGACCAGCATCTGAGTTATATCCAAAAGGCAAATCAGCTGAACGCTGGAGTACTTCGATGGACTTTACTACTCCAAGAGTACCAGTTCACCATTACGCATATTAAGGGTAGCAAAAACGTGGGAGCCGATTACTTGAGCCGGATATAGTTCGTGAGGTCTGGGGAGCATGTTATTTTTTTATGCCTTTCGTCGTTTGTTTTCTGTTTGTATGTGCGTATTTCATTGTATAAGAAGTGTATTTTGAGTTATTTTCTTTTTGCTTGGTGCATTGGTTGTTTTTACATGTTGTAATGCACATTGAAGGATTTCACTATAGTAGAGGAGCGCACCTGTTCCGTTTTGTTTCGTAGTATACATTCGTGCAGTGTATTCCGTATTGATGGCGGCCGTACCTAGCTATTTCTTTTTCTTGTTTGTATGGCGCATTGACATTGTTGCATGTAACTGAAGCTTGTACCCTAACAATTGTTTTTTCCCTTTTGTTGTTACTTTGATGCACTCGGCCTATTTATGTTGTGTATGAGAGGGACAGTTCTCATGTCTCCCTTGTTGGTGGTGTTTTGTTCCTTGTTGTCGAAAAATTCCCCTCCGTGTAAGCAAATGTTATGAATAACATTCTGAAAGTGGGGGGAATGTCACGGACCGCCATCTTTGCGACCCGGCGTCACGGCAATTAACGGGCGCTGTACTACCCCGCTGACCGTGGGAATCGCGGGCGCGTGAAAGAGAGCCGGGAAGAGCAGAATGGGGGGTTCTTCTTCGAACATCGCCGCCGACGTTTCATCCTTTGTACCTACGGCGGCGTCTGCAGGGTCGTGGAAGGCCGCGATGTATCCCGAAAAAGGTTATACTACAGGACGCACCGGCTGAGAGCCAAACAGTCTGACCGTTCCCACGGGAAAACTTCTGGGGCCAAGCCGTATGACAGCACCCCAACAGGTTGTCACTCTCGCTAGTTGAGGGCCCTCTCCTGAATAAAAGGGGTGGGGTTAATATATTTTTGGGGCGGAGTTTCCCACAATGAAACTCGCATGATTGGACACATGTAGAGGTCTCTTGTCCCCAAGGAAGAGAGCGAGGGAGACGAGGGAAATTTAAGCGCAGGATTTTGCCCTGCTAGGCAGACTAGTCGCTGACCAACATGTTTAGAAACAGATCAACAAGTATCTCTTCTAGAAGTTTTTAGTGTGGCTCTGTATAGGCTGGCTACATAAACTTAGCCATTCGTCTAGTTGTGACGCGATATTAACGCCTGCAACGTAGACATCGGGACTTCGCCTCGAGTTAGCTCAACCTGCCGAGGTCACCTTCAAGCACTAGCCTCCCGGAGCCACCAGCGTTTCAACACCGCCGACATCGCAGTCATGCCAGAACTCTCCTTCGACTTCTCGCATCCGATCGTCGGGGACGCAACGCTGCCGGTTATCACACGTATGCCTTCACCTGTTTATATCTTCCAACTTTTCCTCCGTAGTTCTATTGTTGTTAGTTTGCGTAGTTTGTAATAGTTTTCCTCTCGTAAGCTGATAATGTTCTTTATATGTATTTTGTTATATCAAGTGTTGATGTATTTTGTTAGCTTGTATTGAAGTGTTGTTACTAGATCCCGTGTGCTGCAATATCACTAGAGTAAAGTTTGTTTTGTGTTCTCACGTCTCTAATCCTCCACTGTCTGTGCTTGCGTACGGAACGAACTAACCTGCTGTCATTCCTGTCGCCGACTTCGCGCTGGCGACGCTGGAGGGCAGCTTGTAACAGTCGTAGAGTGTACGCCCAACAGGAAAAGATTGTGGGACGCCAAATTTTTGACAATGCTGAATTCCCACTTTCTCTGGGATCATAATATTCAAATAAATGTTCCACACTGCACTTGGCATTCCAACCTATACAGTCACCAGCTTCATTACGAACAATAAAGCAGAAATTCACATTTTTCGTGGATCCACCATCCCGCAAATCGCTGCTGTTTGGTGTACATACATGTCTTTCAATAATTGCCCCTTGGACTTTTTGGCATATAATCCGTAGATGGACCGATACACAGAAAGAAATAGCCAGTCAGTCGTTTGTCTACGAGCATTTTTACGTCGTCTCTATTCGTAGCAGCTTAGCTTCAAACTTCGGTATATAAACAAGAACTCTAGCGAGTCGACTCGAATTTAGGGCCATTCGTGAGGCGACTCACCGGAGCGCCAGCGAACCCACAGCCAGTATAGGCAGCCCTGAGTGCGGACACGATCCATTTACGACCCGCACACCAGGTTCCACTCGACCACAATGGAGTGCGGATGTTTGAAGTCGAGTTTTCCGAGTGCCCTGTGGTAATCGGGACCGTCAGAGATGGGTCCCGTCTCAAAGTGCCAGCCAGCGTCGCAGGGTATCACGCTTCGGTTGTCCGCTGGAGGCATCGTGGCCGGCCTCGTCCGACAAAAGGTCGAACGGGGGGGTCGTACCGGTGGCACTGGCTGCGACGTAACCACGGAGCCGTCTCGGTGTTCTGGGATGCCGACTTTCTTCCAGGTAGCCTCGGATACAAAGGCGTACTCTTCGGGTGGGCTGCAGCAATAGCTTAATGTAAAGGGCCTTGCACGTGAGCCTTGTGCAGAGCACAAATTTGTTTCTGCACAAAGAGGCATATTTCAAGTGTTTAGATGTACTGTACATACATTCCCTTACGGAAGTACGGTGTGTAGCTTAGTGGCTTATTCAGACGGGTTCTCTCTGTGGTGGACTTGGTCTGTGTCATGTGTGCCTTCAGTCGTCAGTTAACCGGTTTATTTTTTTTCCCGCAATAATCGAGAACCCATTAACACGTGCTGTTATACAGCTTAGGCTTAGGAAGGCGGTTGCCAGAATTGTGGTAGCACCTGGTCACATGAAAGCACGCAATGGAGGTTCTCTAAATGAAGTTGTTGATTCATGTCCTCTTTCGAAAAAACGCGCTTTTCAGGTGGGATACATCAGCACGGTGTTCGCGCGAAAAGTTATACAAAATCTAGTAGAAACAGCTCTTCCTGTTCCCCTTTGTGGAACATCATACCGTGTAGGCCCAGGCCATATTGTCTTAAGCCGTGTAAAAAAAATAGAGGTGTCACCTGGAGCGAAATCCTTTTCTTTAATTGCACACTGGGACCTTGCCCATGAAAGCATGGATGCAAGAAAAAGGCTTATTCGTTCCTTGAAATGTTGATTGCCTTCTCTGCAAAGTGCTGGAAACAATCGAACGTGTTTACGAGTGGAAGTGTGTGTACTTGTTTCCCTGCTATCCTACCGACCATGTTCCAGACTTTTGCCTCCTGTGTGTATGAATTAATCCCTGACAAAAACTTCTGCCAGCTTTCTCTTCTGGCCTGCCGACGCGTTCTCCTTCCTTGAGACTTTATTTCTTGAACGTGTCAAGATTTTCCGCTGTTGGCGAGTTGCGCAGCAATCTCCATGCCCTGTTCTGTTCCTTTCGCGCATTACGACACTCCGTGTTCCACCATGGGACGTGTCGTTTGCCGGGCATTCCAGATGTTTGCGGTATGCACCTGGCTGCTGCGTCAGTTAGAAAAGCTGTGAAGTACTTCACAGCTTCATCTATGTTTAACCTACATATGTCTGTCCAACTCAAACGTGTAGTGTTGTGGAACTGTTCCCAGTCTGCTTTGTCATCAGCCATTTGGGAACATGTAGAGGACATTCATATGTTGTTTGTGAACTCAACACTACAGGAAAATGGTCACTTCCATATGGATTGTTTATGATTTTCCATTTCAATAGGGGTAGAAGTGAAGGTGATACGATGCTGAGGTCTATAGACGAGTAAGTTTTGTTGGCAACGTTATAGTAGGTTGGCTCTTTCCTATTCAACAAACAGGCGCCGGAAGAGAAGAGAAATTGTTCAATGAGACGACCTCGTGCATCACAGCGAGAATCGCCCCACAGTCCACTATGTGCATTTAGGTCCCCAAGAAGCAAATAAGGTTCCGGTAGTTCGTCTATTAGGGAATGAAATTCACGTTTTTCACGACGTTGGTGGGGAGGTACATACAAAGAGCAGATGGTGACGAGTTTGTTTAAGAGTACCGCTCGAACAGCCACCGCCTCAAGGGATGTCTGGAGTGGTAAATGTGTACACGCTACTCCTTGGTTAATAATAATGGCTACGCCACCGGATGACGCCACAGCATCATCTCGGTCCTTTCGGTATATGACGTAAGCACGTAAAAAATTTGTATTGGAGGATTTAAGATGTGTTTCCTGTACACACAGCACTTGAGGTGAGTGTTTGTATAAAAGCTCTTGGACGTCGTCGAGGTTTTTAAGCAGGCCTCTGACGTTCCAATGTATAATTTGTGTTTCCATATTGGAAGTAAAGTAGTGCTGTGTGTACGTTAAGGGAGTGACTTGTTTAAACTGAAAGGTCGAGCTCAAGTAGCAGGGCTATTATCAGGCCCTGTTATGAGCTTTTTAGTTTTCTTGGCGCGCTCCAGAGAGCCGCGCCGCTCTTTTGGCACCAGAGGTGCCGCCGTATCCATTGCCTCCTCGGAGGCACTGGATGCCCGCTCATGCGAACTGGTTTTTCGAAGCTTGGGCCTCGCCTGGCGAGGTGAGGCCTTGAGACCCGAGGACCCTGGAGTCCCTGGTCTCTGTTCAATAGCAGGCGGAGTAGACTCAACTACTGCCGCCTTGGGGGCAGGCGCCACAGCCAATGGCTCGCTCTGCGCAGGCCGAAGGAGTGGCGAGGGCTGGTGCGACACTGCCCCCTGGCGCGCCGCATCAGCATATGTAGGGCCATAAAATGGCGAGACTCTTTTTCTTGCTTCTTTAAATGTAATGTTTTCTTTTATCTTTAAAGTGATGATTTCTTTTTCTTTTTTCCAGAAAGAACAAGAACGTGAGTACGCGGCATGATTACCGCCACAGTTTACACAGTGTGCAGGTGCTTCGCAGTTGTCGGACGCATGGCCCACGACTCCACACATAGCACAAGTTTTCTGGCCACGACAGCTTTGCGAGCCGTGGCCATATCTCTGACAGTGGAAGCAACGACGGGGGTTGGGAATATATGGCCTCACAGATGTTTTTGTGTACCCAGTCTGAATTGTTTCCGGCAAATCGCTCGAAGCAAAGGTCAGTACTAAGTGTTTTGTTGGTATTTCCTTTTGATCTCTTCTTATCTTAATGCGCTGTACGTTTGTCACGTTCTCGCTCTTCCATCCTTCAAGAAGTTCAGCTTCGGTCAGGTCAAGCAAATCTGCGTCCGAAACGACCCCGCGAGATGAGTTCATAGACCTGTGTGGCGTAATACTGATGGGTGTGTCTCCAAACGTTGTGAGGGTGTTCAGTTTATCAAATTGGTCTTTGTCACGTACTTCGAGGAGTAGATCTCCATTGGCCATTTTGGTAACCTTGTACCCGGCACCGAGAGTTTCGGTTAAGGACCTAGCCACTACGAAGGGGGATACTGTTCTGGCTTGCTTGTTAGTTTTTTCGCAGTGTATAACGTGGAAATGAGGAAAGGTTTGTCTTGGCCGGAGGAAAAAATTTATATCTTCGGTGCGTACCCGCTTTGAGGAGGCACGATCACTTAATAGGGGAAATGCTTTATGCATGCCAGTTTAATTTTCTTCAGAAGCGTTGGCGGCCACCCACCACGGAGCCCAACAAGGGGACGCTACATGTTTGTGGATGCTAAAACCTGCAGACGCCAGCCGTACAACGCAACTTTAACCCAATGCGCCTAGACCAAGGTAGGCTATTTGCACAGGGTTAACCCTCGCCGCCAGGAAGTTTGGAAGTAAACAGAAGAGAGTAGAAGACAGGACAGATAAACAGTAAGAGATAAAGACGAAGATGTAGGGAGAGAGAGATGGGAAAAGGCGACTGCCGATTTCCCCTGGGTGGGTCAGCCCAGGGGTGCCGTCTACGTGAAGCCGGGGCCAAAGGGGTGTGTTGCCTCTGCCGGGGGGCCTTAACGGTCCAATCACCCAGCGTCGGCTCAACCCCCAGGATCCCCTTTTCCCCGGACACGGCAAAGCCACGCACGGCTAGGCGTGGGAGGGAGTAGAAACTCCCCCGTTAGCTCGGGTCCGTGGTGTCGCTACACACCAAACGCCTACTTGCGCAGTCGCCCCTGCGGGGAGACTCCGACGGCCGTCGGGCGAAGGGGACGACGACGGCCAGGTGTTGTTCTTCACTGCTCGACGTCTCGGATGCCTCGTCGAGCAGCTCACTCGGTGACAGCGGAGACAGTGGCGACGGCTGCGTCTTGTCTGAGGGCTTACGGCGCCCATCTTCAGAGTTGGCCATGTTGAGTCGACAGTGCGATCTTGTTTGGCTGGGTGCTAGAGGCCGAATGGGGACGTCTGAGGGGATTTCTTTTTTTTCGGTGGAGCGATGTGCAGCCACGTCCAAGCGTTGAAATCGAAAAGCTTCTTCTGGGCTCGCGCGCGGCGCGTGCTGACGTTGATGGTGATGGTTTGTCTTTAAAAAATTCCAGTGCTCTCACTGGGAGATATATTCGAGATTGAAAGCGATTTTGAAAGCGAAAAAAGATTGAAAGCGATTTTAGGCATTTTTTGGTGGAAATAAGTGGCACCTTCTCGACGTGCCAGGTTGTGGCCGACACCTACCACGTCGTCGCTTCGTGCCCCACTAACCCACTTCCTTCTTATTCCCTTTCCCCATTTAAACTAAACAAGCTTGGGAGGAGTATACCTGCACGGCTGCTACACCTTGGATGCTCAACGATCCTTGCTGAGGTGTGCTCGGGCAGCGGCCAACTCCGTTGGCGTCCCGGAATAGGGTCTTGCCACTCAAGCATGCAATATGCCGCAACTCTCTGGTACATTTGTTGTAATAAAATGTTTTCTGCCACCACTACCACGCAAAACAGAAGTGATAAAAATGCTGGTTGCAACCACACACGCGATGATTATCAATATATTACCCTAACGCTGGTGAATTGAAAACATGCTGAATGACTGAGATGTTCATTTCATTGTGATGGTAAGCTTGAGAACAGAGATAACGCTAAGCATGATAAAAAGCCATACGTTTCGAAATTTTCGAGACTAATTTTTTGCCATTCTCTTCACCTTAAAGTGTGAAACAACTCGCCCAGCTGCAAGTTTTACTCAACAACATTTCACGGGGTAGGCCTTCCACGCTGAATGACTAGGTGGTGCTGACAATACGCGATCACTTTATTTTTACCTGTCACCTAAGGGTAGCTCGCGTTTCATGCACAACCGGAACTCGCGCACCTGCATGCACTAAATACGCGGAAAGAGAGACGCATATTTACGTCGAGTCGGCATTTCCGCGTCGTCATTGTGAGCGCACCGTATAAACTAACTCTACACTTCTAAAACCAAGCATTTTTATAAAACGTAAGCGTAGAATTTTGTAGAATATTTTTTTGCTCACATGAGATACCACTGTTGCGACTCCGGGTCCTGCGGGTCTCAGTTTAGTAGCAGGCCCCCGTCCTAGGACCCTTCGTTGAACAAGTCTGTTAAGGCGCTCGTAAAAACGACAACAATTTATTTACATGGTTAGTAACTGAGAATTTGAAAAGAGGTGTTCAAATGATCAAGTAATGTCTAGAACTATACTTAAGAACTGTTGAACTGTGGAACTTGAAATACACGAAAGTCTTCGGCTTATGTAGCGCCTCGTTTCCAACCCTGGGCACATTGTCCGCGGCTTCCGCCAATAGGGTGCTCCATGGTCCATGTGCTCCACCCAAGAAGGAGAGGAAAGACACCAAACAATGCATGCGGAGAGGGCACAGTCCGCACGATGCCCAAGTATGGTCACCAAAGCACCGACGTTTTCGCACACGTCTCCAAGTTTCGCGCAATTCCGATGATTTTGGTTTCCACAATTCTTCTGGAAACTGGGTGAGGTTTGAAAAACCGGCTGCCAGTACACGTGTTCAAACTTGCCTGACTGTTTGGGTAGGGCAATGTAGCATATCTTGAAAATATGCCACCCCATTTAGCCGATGCTATGGAGAAGGGGGGGGGGGAGCAGGAGTAGTCCACTAATCCCTCGTCGCCGAGGCGAGCTCCGGCAAGGGCTGCAGCAGATAGAGCATTAGCTTTTTTTTCACCCTCACATTCCATTCCTGGTTGTTTGCTAAAAGCTGCGGCTTAGCTGCACATATCCCGGGGCTCCTCTTGTCCTCGCAAGATGCAGCCACAACCAATTTGGCTTTAGCTTGCAGCCTGAACTGCAAATACCATGCTGTTTCCGAGATTTCCGAATCCTCGGTGACCTCAAAAATGGCCCAGCTGCCTCCTTGTCTGCCTCGAAAGCCTTGTTCGCAGCAAACACAATGGCCTCTCTTGACTCGTGCGTTTTCTCTGTGTGAACCAGTCCCGAACCCCTCGTTCAGGTTTTGCCGAGAGGAAATAATCCGTCTTGACGGCACACCCTTGCTTGGAATGCGTTGAAGTATTTTCGTCCCGTTCACAAAGGCCCAAAAACTTCAATAATGATGACGGTCGTAACAGTCAATGCAGCCACAACTAATTTGGCTTTAGCTTGCAGCCTGAACTGCAAATATCATGCTGGTTCCGAAATTTCCAAATCCTCGGTGACCTCGAAAATGGCCCAGCTACCTCCTTGTCTGCCTCGAAAGCCTTGCTCCCAGCAAACACCATGGCCTTTCTTGAGTCGAGCTCACAGTGGCCTCTTTTGGATCGTGCGTTTTCTCTGTGCGAACCAGTCCCGAACCCCTCCTTCGGGTTTTGCCGAGAGGAAATTAATTTGTCTTGACGGCACACGCGTGCTTGGAATGCGTCGAAATATTTTTGTCCCGTTCACAAAGGCCGAAAAACTTCAATAATGATGGCGGTCGGAACACCACCTCATCAGCCATGTCTAGTAGATAACTTAAGGTAAATAAGACGTAAAATACTTTAAAACTACATATGCGTCCAATAGAAAATGAATGATTAAGTATGTTTGGTTTATTTTGCCTTGTGTGTATAAAACAGTACTTTAGCAACAGAAGGGGGGAGGGGGACAAAAGGTGCCTTGGCCATCCTCAAAATTGGCGCTTCCTCAAGTAAGTGCTTCTCTTAAATAGTCAAAGCCTTCAGCCAGTGAGACCAAGAAAAAATACGCTGATTGAAAAATTGAACGCGATATACATAACTGCCAAGCAATCCACACGGGTCATCTTTGAAAAAAAAATCACAGCACACCCTCAGAGAGAATGATGAGGAGTTGGGCGGAGCATCAGTCCCTCCGTCCGTGCACGCGTCCGTCTACCCATCTGTCCGTCTGTGCATGCGTCCGTGTCTCTGTCCGTTCGTCTGTCTGTGTGTCGGCCTTTTTGTCTGTCTGGCGACGAGCACGAGCCGCCGCGGCACTACACGCCCGCTGCTCCGCTTCGTCAATGCCGCACCAATGATCCGCCACGTACGGTGACGCTGCAGGAGATTGAGAGAGGCACTTCTTCCCCGCGCACCTAGGCACAGCCCGCGCAGCAGCCAATTGGAGAGTAGCGGTATAGCACCATCTAGAATATCCTCACTCGAGTGTAGTTTGTATGACACAGTGGCACCTATTATACTGCTCGGGAGATACAGCCTTTTTTTTTAAAGACGATAGTCTTTCTTGAGGACGCAAAAATTTTCGTCTGTCTGTCTGGCTGTCTGTCTGTCTGTCTGTCTGTCTGTCTGTCTGTCTGTCTGTCTGTCTGTCTGTCTGTCTGTCTGTCTGTCCGTCCGTCTGTCTGTCTCTACATTTGTCTGATTGCCCACTCTTAACGGCACCGGGTATTTGAAACGACCGACCCCATCCGCAGCGCCCACCAATGTTGCTCAAGATTTAGCGTTCATACTTGTGTGATTGTATATTAAAAACAATTATTGCGCATGTCTGGGGCACCATAACAACACGTATGCATTCAGCATGTTCGCCTTTTACTAGAAAAGGCACACGTAAGTAACTCTGAGGACCGTAGCGCTTATCACGCTGCGCTGACCGTGCCACGCTTGCACGAAAATGCGAGTGTTTCGAATGCTTTTGCTAAGACGAGACGGTGGTGGCACCTACTCGTCGCCTTGCGTTCTACTAACACCTCTGAGACGGGCGCGCAGACCCGTCTCAAAGCCACGCGCTTCGTTTTCAAAGAAAGCTGCCAGAACGCACTGATGTCTCACTTGTGACGTGACTTGATGCGCTCATTCGCCTCCGCTAAACGCTCGAGGCACTCTAACGCAGCGCCTCCAGAATACCATTCCCCGCATTTCTTGCGCAAAATATCAAATAAATGTTTTGTTCACTCTCTGCACACACAAGACTTTCGTCTTTCGACGACATCTGCAGATTAACATGCAGATACGGGGCCATTTTTTTCTCGTTTTCTTCTTCTTTTGCCGGTTACGCTTGACGTTCAATTTCAGACTAAGAAGAGCTTCGACCTTAGGAGGAATCTCTAGGGGAGACACTCGCAAGTGGCGTCTCCCACAGCCTAAGCACAAGGGGTTCTTGACACCTTTTACCACTTTGTGATTTACGCCACTGATTCAGAGCGTCTGCGCGCTTGTGACGGCTTGGTTGTGCGCGTATGAGAACGAGAGGTAGTGCATGGGTTCGTGACACCTGATGAATGGGTGACACTGATGAATTCCTCAATGATAAACAAAATATCCCTGTGACTGTATCCCAGAAGAGTGACCCCAAAGAAAGACGAACAGGTTCTGCTACTTTCATGCCAAGGTTTCAAAGAGGTGCTAGAATTGTTCTTTTGCGGAGTGCCCCGTATACAGGATAGAAAGAAATAACCAATAAGCTGCGTTCTCGACATCTTTTTTTTTTTTGCTGAAGATATCATCATGGCCAAAGAAGGCACGCGGCGCACGAGCCAAGAAGAAGTTCCTCGATTTCGCCGGTCGGACGTGGTGGTGCGTAGCTTTTCAACAGAAGCCTTTAGGACCACAGCCTTAAACATCCCGCCACGCCAGTGCATTCCTTCGCATCAACATGGGAGGCTCCGGAGCGATGCGCCGTGCACCACGAAGACATCCTGCTTCGACCACGGCGACACGGCATCGCTTGGTTCGGCCGTCACCGACGCAAGGCGGCTACGATGCGTTCGAGCCGTCCACCGGCACGGAAGAACGCCAGGTCACAGTCGTACCTTTCGTCCTCGAGCCCTCCGAGACACCGTCAACGTGTTTTCGAGAAGGATCGATAGCGGTAAGTTCCTTATTTAATGGTTAAAATGTGTACGCGAAATTGCCATTTTTATATAGCTTGTAGGCGCGTCCATTAAGAACAATTAATAAGGT